ATATCTAAAATTTCAAGTATTCTGTTTTTAAACAACCATTTTTATTGGCCACTATTTCAAAATAGTCTGACTGTCTACTTTTGATACTACAAGTACTTGTATATATCTAGAACAAAACTTAAAAATAAGAATCTTTTAGCTACATGGACAGCAAAAGAGGGACGAAAGATACCAGAGGGACAGTCAAACTCATAGATAGAAAACAAACTGACAACGCCATGGCCAAAAATAAAAAGACAAACAGACAAATAATAGTACAGATGACACAACATAGAAAACTAAGGACTAAGCAACACGAACCCCACCAAAAACTGGGGGTGATCTCAGGTGCTCCGGAAGGATAAGAAGATCCTGCTCCACATGTGGCACCCGTCGTGTTGCTTATGTTATTACAAATCCGGTAAATAGTCTAATTCGGTAAGTCACAGCAACTAACAAATGACAGTCCTAATAATAGCCAACAAGTTTTGTGACTAAATAACACACGCTCTTGTCTCCTTCAGGAATATTATGTAGAAAAGCATAATACTCTAAAAAATGTCAAAATAAAGATTCTAGAAAAATCAGTCATAATAACCTTTGGAAGTCATAATTGACCATTTGTGTACACCTTAATGCAATTTGTCAACCTTATAGATCATCGGTGATGGACTGCCCCATAAATGCTGATGTCACAAGAGAAAACATTTGATTTCAGGGAGATTATGTAACTGTAGTATTATTGATTCTTTTGCTGAATTATGTGCAGTGACAAATATTACATGCATATTAAAGACTGCCAAAAAAGTTCCTTAAAAGTGTGTCAACCAGAATGAACAGGTGGAAATATGAACTGCCACTTGAAAAAGAGGGTTGGTATCTGTGAAAACAGCAGAAATTTTGTCTTGCAACAGGTCCTCCACATACCACACAAACTTTTACTGCAAGTTTTTCTTTAACCTGCAGAAAATGTGGCCAAAATTATTCTCCCAAAAGTCAATAGGTCAAGTTATGTGGAATCTTGGATCAAGAGTGCTGAAATACCAAATCAACCACAATTAGGAGACCGAAACACTTCTGTGTACAGCTATCGCAACACCAAATGTACCATAATGATTCTGAACTATTACAGTATGAACCTGGCACAGACAGTCCACTACCAAGTTCTATGCAAGCACACATATGTGATTTTAAGGTTATTAGGTAATGTTCAATACCTCATATATTTTCAAAGCATATTCAGATTTAAGAAACATTTGTGCTGCAATGAGAAAATTGACCAGGAAACTCTAGAAAACTTGTTTTGATCCCATACTAGGAATGTAACCATAGAACCTTTGGCAGAGTATAATGAGCTTCAGGAGTATTTTCCTAGCACAGCTGATGGAGTATAAACAGATATCAGCCTATTACAACTTCAGTAATAGACAAGATCAATTACAAACCATTCAGAGACACATCAGTGACATTTAGAAGCTATGATGTGCTTAAATGCTTTTCATTTCCCCGTTTATAATCATCATTCATATGTAGATCATTTGCATCTCAAGATGTCAGGAAATCTTACGACTTCTCTACACATTAAGAACTAAACAGCCTTCTGTTGTTTCAGAAGAGCCTTGCCAAATAATATAAAATATCCATAGCTTCTATCCCCACTTTCACCCTGGTCCTTAACCTAGATTTCCCTAGATGTACTTAACCCCTACAGTTAAATACTAATCTAATGAATAATGGTGTCAAAATTATGCCTTTCTTTTTGTTTTTATGCTCAAGATGAACAATATCATCTTCTATAATGTACATGGTATATTTATAAATAATGTGTCTACAATGAGTTTATATCTGAGAAGAAAAGGATAATTACACTATTTACCTAATTACAACATAGCTACAGGGCAGTTGTGATAAATATTTACACGTAATTCAGTGACTTTCCTTTTCATGTATTACTTTAGACAAATGGATGTACGAGTGTGGGACTTTGAGTGTAGTAGTTGCTGAACTGCCTTGAAGAAGTGTTTGAGGAAAAGAGACTATCAAACTATTTCAATCATCATATAATATAAAAAAAAAACTGAAAGATATGAGCACAGCTGCTTTTTCCAACTTCTTATATGATATAAGCAGAAATTGCTAACTCAATGTATTGTTATTGAAACCCAACAAATCGCTCAGATCAAGAATGAAAACAGCAGGTGTAAAAACTCATGTCCTGTAGACAGGTAGAGAAAATAGGTGCTTTGTTGAATTCTGTAAAACAAGTTTCAAGGAGTTACGGATTTACAGGGAGTGAAGGGTATGACGATAAAACAAAACATGATCACTATGTGTATCTAGAACTTGGCTTCCAGAAGACACAATAATTATTCACACACTTCATTTGTACTCATCTGATTAATTGGTATTGTGGCCAAGTGTAACAAATTTGATTACTATCAATACATTTCAATTTGTTTCTTTATACTGTGGATTCATTATTATTCGTGGGATATCAATTTTTGTGGATTTTGTTGGTAAAAGTGAACCATGAATTTAACTGTTCAACTAAGTACCAATTTTCTAGAGGCTAATGTATGCAAACTTGGGCAAAACCACAAAGTCAAATATCCATGAAAATCAAATTTTTCCTGAAACCACGAAAATTGGTACCCACGAAAATAAATGAATTCACAGTACCATACTAATAGCATTCTGACATATTAAAAAAATTCAAACAAAAATATCTTTCTGAAAAAACTATGGCTGGGTCTAAAGTAGAACCAAATTTATGATTCAATTCACATGAGATTTTTTTATGAAGAAGCATCAAATCTATTTTAAGATGGTGAATGATCAAAAAGCCTTCTGAAAGATTTTGCTGTATGTGTACTTTCTTGAGTCAGTTTTTGTGACTCTTTTACTAGTTGAAATAAGTATCAGAAAACCCAAATGGTTAGAACTTAGAAGCTATTTGGATTCAGAAAGGGCTGATTGTTCTGAATAGGTTTTTTGGCTAATGACGTTCAACTGATTGTTATACACAGCTTCAAAAATATGACTGCATCATTAGTATCAATGGTATGAGTTTACCTTGTAGAAAATATTTGGTCAAAAAGTTGTTGAATTTTTCATTTTTGGTTTTCTATACAACTGATTTTTTCCAGACATCCTTTTTTTTTTTTGCCCCAAGAAATGCATATAGAGGACAATTTATGAACAAAAACAATTCACAATATAATTACAATGAAAACACATGTGTATAAGCCCTTCTCTTTATTGATGTAGGAAACTAAATTATGCATACTTTTTAAAACTAAGGTGTATATTTTTATTCTAAAACAATATACTGGAGATATCTTTATAGTATACTTGGTTATTATATTCATCACTTGAAATTAAATATCTAGTTCTATTTAATAGTCTATTTCATCTCTATTCTCTTGCTGTGGTTCACTAGCAGAATTCAATCTTGAGATCCTTAGCATATTTTGCTGGAAATGTGATTTACAAACAGATTTCCACCTCAAAATAACATGACAGTTATGATTTCTCTACTATGTAAACAACACTACCACATTATCTTATCAATCAGAAATTTCCGATCTAATAAAATGGTCTTTTGGATAAATCTTGATGTACATACAAGTCAGATTGTTAAAAGTTAAAGTGATTTAGAACTTGACATCAGAATTCTTTTTACACAATTACAAAAATTTATGACAAAGAGGACAACTTTTCTTTTCCTTATTATCTATTTCAAGTATAGCCACAGATAAGATTAGCATTATTTAAATACCAATATTTTTTCACTGACTGAGATTATGTATGTTGGACTCTAAATGTCTTAAAATAGGGTTGCTGTCTTAATTACCTATTCTCTGATCTCTTACATTGTCTTAAGTTATAGGGGTCAGCCTCCAAATGTTTTGCAAAACTTTGTATAATAAACAATAATATGCTTTTAACCCCTATGTTCTATCTAAAGTTATTTGGTAACAGTGGCAATGTTGGCAAGTCAGCATGCATAATCAATGTAGTTTTAAAACTAGACCCACACAGTTTTGTGTTTATTGGTCCAGTTATTATTTTTCAAGAAAAGATTTTTGAAAAAGTTTGAATTGAAAATGGACAACACATGAGGACACAGTTGGCATAATCAGCAACTAAAAGCAACCTAATAAATATGCAATTACCTAGCAATCTCTAGTATTCAGGTATTCTTAACTCTAGTTTTCACCTGACAATACCTGTATCAGTGTGAATCTTTCTATAGTTTATTCATATCAAATACCAAAGAGTTACAATCCACAATCATAAACAATTCTGATCAATGAATCACTACATATAAAAGTACTGCATCCTGAATACATTGACTGAATTGTTTCACACTCTAATAACATAATCAGTCACTTAAAATAAGCTCTGTAGTCAAAGAAAGAAAACGTATACCCAGAAATAACTGCTACAATTTATCAAGCAAATGGGTTATTTTTCCCCCCTGAATTTCTTAGAAATAAACATTAAAGTAAAATATGACAGATTGGTTCCATTTATTCAAAGCTCTCTCCAGAATATACCAAGAGCAAACAGAACCAATATGCTTGGAAAACTTTTAAGAGTAAAATAGCGTGGTCAAACTAACCTAACTTTTATTCTTAAATAAAGTTTGTTCTTCATGAAAAATGACTTTTAAATGTCCTAAAATTAACACCACAGAAGTAAGAACTCATTATTTGTACACAAAAAAATATTTTCTTCAGGAAAATGAGTTCTTTTTAACTATGAATATTTTTATAAAATGTATAAGGAATAAATCTATTTTTGAATGAGTGCTGTTATGTATACCTGACAACTAAAATTTAAATCCTGTTTAATGGCACTACTCTGCATATGACCTTCTTCCCTACATAATATGTTTTATGTATAAATTGTTCATCACATTTATATTAACATGATGCTATATATCATGTGTATCAAACTTTACTCATCAGAGGCTTAAAATGAAATTTATCCTTTACAAGTTAGTTTTATCTACTTACATTTAAAGTTTAAAAATCCTCCATTTGACGACATCATTTATAGTTTAGTAAATCGGAGTACTTCAGAGCACTATAAATAATCCATTTACTAAAATATATTCACTTTTCACTGAGAGAAATCTTACAACATCACACATTCAATGCATCAAAATGAAGATTTCAAAAACATACAATTTTGATCAATATTTTTTTGAATTCAGACAGACTTGTTTATCAGACTGCATATAAGGTTTCTACTGCTGTGTATACAACGTAGATAAATACAGATCTTAAATGCATGTAAGTTTTCTGCTTCCAATCACTGCTAAAATAAAACTTTTATCCGCTATATATCTTAATTACATTGAAATACACATGTAGCAGACAAGTAAATTGTATGAAAGCAAGAGTTATAGTTTCTGATCTTCCACGTAAATGTCAAAGACTTCAATAAATAGTATTTATTGGAAAATAAGTCCAAAACAATGTAATATATATAGACTTCAGTTCACCATGAAATGTAAATGAATGCTATACAATTCACTGTAAAAAGTCAATATATATCCATTTATATAAAACCTATTATGTTCTGAAATAATGACCAATCCAGGTGAATTGTACCTTGAAACGTGATGCAAATATTTACATATTCTACATCGATATGTTGTAAGAAGTCTGTAATAATCACATAGAAATGGTGTACACTAAAGTAATTTGTATTGTGTATGAATCAACACCCAAACTACTTATTGTATGACCTTGACATTAAGTTGTAATCAAACTATAACCCAAATAACCCTGTTATTTAAATATTACATGTGTATGAACACTCCTGCACACAATGCTCATATAAATATATATTTAGAAAGCTATTTAACAAATAAAGACTTCATTTATCTTTTTCTTTATTTTTGGTTTGGAAATACCCAGTGGTTTCTCAATTTTTACTTAAATAATGACTTATATTAATAAATCATCAGTACAATTTTTGTCTTTATAGAAAATAATCAGGTCAAGTAAAGTTTGTTTAAGTAGAAGGTTTCTCCTATATGTTGACTGTTGTTCTGGTAAAACTGATTAAAATTTGCACTTGGTTTAAGGAAAAGGCAGCAGCTAAAATTGACTTAAAATTCATCAAATTTGAAAAGGACAGTCATATGATCATACTGCACAGCATTTCTACGGTCTCCATTTAATTCCCTTCAGATTCTTAAGTTTATCTCTGTTTCACAATGTTCTTGACTTACTATAGCCTAGGGTATGGGTTTTGCTCATTTTAAATCTGTACCGTCACCATGTTATTGTTCATATCCTTGTCTTATAGTCTAAATTGGATCAAGTTGTATCTCATTGGCAATCACAGCACATCTCCTTACTTTTATATCTATATTGGGTCTCATATCAACATCAAAATAAAAAGAATTAAGCATAAACTGTTAACACAGAGATATGTCTCGCCTATTTGTTATTTTAATAATGCAAATGTTGAAATTAAAATAGCAATACTTTAACATGTAAGTTATGCAAATATTCAAAGTCAATGAACCATGACTGAAGGTACAGGGCTAAACCATCTCCATGGGAATGAAATGTGCCAATGCTAATACAACTGCAAACAAAATACCATTGACTTTTCATAACATTAGTGGTTCATCTTAAACTGACCTAATCACAAACTAAGCAAAAGTTTCAAAGTCAATAGACCATGACTGAGGGGTAAGGACCAAATATTCTCCATGGAAATGAGATGTGCTAATGCTTATATAACTGCATACCAATTATCATTGACCTTAGTAACCACTCACAGTTCCCCTTAAAATGACCTAATCACTAACTAATACATGAAAACTAAGCAAAAGTTTCAAAGTCAATAGACCATGAATGAGGGGACGATGCCAAATAATCTCCATGGAAATGAGATATGCCAATACTTATTCAACTGCATACCAAATATCATTGACCTTCCACTAGTGGTTCCCCATAAACTGACCTAATCACAAACTAATACATGTAAACTAAGCAAAGTTTCAAAGTCAATAGACCTTGACTGAGGGGGCAGGGCCAAATAATCTCCATGGTAATGAGATGTGCCAATGCTAATACAACTGCATATCAAATATCATTGACCTACCACTAGTGGTTCACCATGAACTAGACCTAATCACAAACTAATACATTGTTGATGCCGTAGCTGTCGCCGTCCCTGTCGCCGCCGCTTGCTGACGCCAGAAACAGCATACCTATGTCTCGCTTTCTGACTCCGTCAAGGCGAGACAAAAACCATTATATCAACATTCATGCATAATAATATCAATCATTTCATGAAATGGTTCATAGGAAAGTTACCTATATGTAGTTCACACAGAAGCAAGTTGAAATCAATGTTTCTGGGGGATTGTCATGAAGTTCATATCTACGGTACATTAAAATAAACTTTCTGAGGAAACTGCAAAGCAACATCAATGAATGTGAAACATTTCCAAGATTAAGTTTGCATTTCTTTTTCCAACAGATTATGAGTGTGATCATGGTAATGTTAAGTAATGTACTTTGGTAAAGTTCAATTAAAACAATCTTGAGTCAGCATGAGATGTGCTTGGAGCTTGGATGGTTGAATGTACAGGCATAAATCTTCATATCAATGCACTGAACAAGTGATGATGGTGTGAGATTTCTCTTTTCAAACTCTGTAGTGGTCAGCCATTAACATTGCCATGCAAGCTCCTCCGTTAAGTTGTGCATTTGTCTATGCAAAGATCAGTAATACTAAAAACAAATTTTCACATGACATCTAACTCCATAGGTCCAAAAGTATGACATATGAAATTATTGAAATGGTCAGAAAAAATGTGACACCTATTGTCTATGAATCTATCACTACAATGGTCAGCCATAAAAGTTTATCACATGACTTGTTTGTGGTTACATCTTTAAAGGAAATTTAATTTACAAGTCTTATTTCCTATGTTCATGATGACAGTACATGGTTACCTTTCCTATAACAATTAACATAAACAAAATATAAGTTATATAAACAATAGCCAAATATGATCAAGAAGGGTAGGTAGAGGAGGGAATATCATCAATTTTTCAGATACCTCTTCCCCCCCCCTCCAAAAAAAAAAAAAACCACACACACAAACAACAACATGATAACATCTGGATGTCTTAAAGATGGTTTAATGCAAATAACTAACATCTGTGAATTATTACTATTTCTACTATCAAAAATTGGTTCAGCTACTTAGCAGAGTGCTCTTTATTCTTGTCTCATACATTAGTCCATTTTCATCTCATCTTTTATTCTGTTCAAATGCTACATATCTTTTTTTAGGTTATTTAAAAATAGAGCAATTTATTCTGTGTACAAAACACATCTAAATTTTTAACACTGGTTAATTATTTATTTATGTGAAATATACATCCAAGCAGGGGACTTTTCTCTTGTTAAATAGAGTTAACCAATAGACTAGTTGAAAGAAAAATTTATTCAATGACTGTTAAGGTTGACAACAATATACATAAATTTAATATCAATACCTATAAATATGAAATGTGACCCTGAAGCGTGTTATTAACTTTTCTGTAACTAACAACTATTGACCTTACTCATTAAAAAATAAAATATTTATGGATGATTTCACAATTAAAATGAATGGTTTTTTAAATAAATTTGATCAAATACATTAATATATATATAAATATTGATATTTTAGTAATGCAGAATTGGTTTCACCACATTAAGGACAGTTCAATACAATATTGTCAATTTTTCTATGTTTTGTTTAGGGTTCAGTTATACAGTGACATGTAAAAAAGGATAAACTAGTTTATTTTCCCATGATTCTAAAGATTAGTAATAAGATATTATCTGCAAACAGTTCCTGTGAAATAAATATAACTATATTTAAATTATTTTTCTTATTTAACAACATTTCCTTGGAGTGTTGTATTTTTGTTATTTTACGTTTTACTATACACTTTTCATGTAGTTTTAATTTTTTCACAGTACCCGTAGACAAATCCTCAAAAAATCTATTTGATAAAAATCAAAGATAGGTAATCAACAACTGCATACTGCAATTCTGTCAAATGTTGTCTCATACCTACATAAACTATATTAGATTTTACATTGATGGACAAAATCAATATTTCCCCACTTTCAGTAGGAATTTAAATCAAAGTGACCATATATAATAGCACTAATGAGGATAATGGACATGAATGTACAGCAATATGATTTGTTTTGCAATGGTGAACCAGGAACTTAACAAACTGTGAATACCGAAGGACTTTTGGTGAATACTAAATGGGATGGGAAAAAGTCCATGTTCTAAATAAATGATCAAAAATAGTATGGAATAACAAAAAGTGAAATAAATATGGATATTTACAAAAGAATTATGTAATACAATACATAAAGGGTTCCATGAAGGGCACTTGATTAGTGTTGGGAGTACTTTGTAACCTTGTGACAAAATGTTTTCTTTGATACAGACCAGTAGAATGAGCATAGTCCATGATGGTTAATGATACAACATAAATCAACTGATTAAATTAAATATGATAAGATGGGCAACTTTACTTCTGATTAATTTATTCTGGAATCAAATTCACAACAGAACCAGAATCAAAGTATGGTCAGCGCTGTGAGCCAACCAATCTAATTTGATGAACTATACTTTCAAATTTTACACTTAAAAACAATTTCTTAACAAAAGTTTTGTTATAAGCAGTTGTTGGAAACTCTATGTTTTAAAAGAATTGAAAGGTATAAACAGACAATCCTGGTTTAATTATCTCTTTTATTAAACAACAGTTTAATAATCTTTTGTTAATAGTTGTCTTAATGGCAATCATACCACATTTCCTAAGAATGATATGATGAATATCATTTGTTTTTTATTTTTGAAAAGCAGGAAAACTAAATTTGAAATTGAATCCTATTTTAAACTTTTTCACAGATCAAACTGCTTTAAGGAAGCTAAACAGCAACTGAGACTCCGACTAAGTGCTTTCATCCCAAAATGAATAAAATGCTTAGCCGAGCACAGCCTGATACGACCGCAGAGGTCAAACCCTGAACAGTTGGGGCAAGTTTTGACACAATATTCAAGCTTGATACTGTCTGAATTTGGATTGTGATCAAATTTTTGACATAATATAGGTTTCTGACACAAAATAAATGTGGTCATCAAAGATCTTAAAAATTTGAAATGGGACATTTAATTTACCTAGTATGGTCTGATATCCAAATCTAACAACATGGTTAGATTCAGCATATAATAAAATGCTTCCCTGAGCGCAGCCTGATACGACCGCAGAGGTCGAACCCTGAACAGTTGGGGCAAATTTGGATATAATATTCAAGCTTTATACTGTCTGAATTTTGATTGTGATCAAATTTTTGGCATAATATAGGTTTCTGACACAAAATAAATGTGGTAAAAGATCTTACAAATCTATTGCGTAATACTGTGCAATTGAAGATTACTTCGTGAAACTTTTACAAAATATGAGAATTTTTGAAAAAAATATGAATTCCTTAAAAAATTGGAACCCCCCAACCCCCCGCAACTTTTGGAATCCCCCCTTGGAGCAATTATCCCAAGACTCGATCCAATTCTTTCCTTTGTAGTATGGAACCTTGTAGTACAATTTCAGAGAAATCCATACACATCTAACACAAGTTATTGTTTGGATTCTAGAATAATGCATGTTTTTGGCCC